ACAGTGATATGTCTGTCATATTGATGTATGTATTTATTCATTTCATTTTTTGCGGTAATTTAGCCTATGTCGACTTTAAAGGTAAAATTGTATGACATTATTCTTAGTCGGACAAAAGAAGAAAAAAGGGTGACTCTTTTGCTCCGTGCTTTAGGCATGTTGCTGTTTCCTCTGGCGTCTGCACACGGCCCTGCAGTCCCTTTTATGGGCAATAATGGGCGGTTACCTATGCTATGTACCTATGCTAATGAATCACCTGGCACGCGCGCTCTACTTACGAGGAGTTGGCATTCATCAATCTAAGAGAACAGCTGCAAACAATTCAGCGGTTTACGAGCGCATTGATGAATCTTCTTACAAATCTACTTAAGAACAACTTGGAAGAAATGTAAGAAGATATTGGTGAATGAGGTCCATTGTCCCTTGTCAAAAACAGACCTAGAATTGAGTAAGCTAATTTGGTGATTTTTGTTATTGAATGTTATCACAATTATTCATATAAAATTGCTTGGTATTTGAGAAAATAGGAAATGCTTTGAAAATGCGTTACGTTAAATTTTTGATCATGACTATATTTCTAGTTCCTTTATTTATTTATTCCTTGAACAGAAACGGTACAGCCCTGTTCCCAAAGAGGAGTTCAATACCATTGTGTTAAATATTCCTGGCCCAAACATTATCTTTCAGAGAGAAACAAACTACTGGTAGAGATTTTTATCAAAAAATGTGCACATTTGAACTAAAAGAGCAGCATTTCTTCCAAAAATCGGAAAAAAGACTTTTCTGACAATTTCACTTTATTAGTTTATCTTAAATGTAATCCAGTAGTGTCTACATTCTTAAACTGGAGCTTATGAAATATGTTTCACTTATCCAAACCCAATTTACACTGTTTAACAGGAAATAAACCTGTTCCTATCAAAAAGAGATCCATATTTCTGGCTCATAATGAACAATATATACAATAATGAGCTATATGCGGTAGACTCCTTTAAAGTTTTTCCAGTCAAGTCTCAATCAACAAGCCGTTTAGCTGCCAACCAACTCCACTCGGCGCATCCTAATGGGTACAGCACGTTCCTCCCCAGAGACAGCGTGGCGCTGGGGCCCTGGGGCCACCAGTCCACCCAAAATGAGCCATCGCACACGAACCCAACCCTTCACCGTCCCACACAGCCAAAGCATCCAACTTTTAACGACTTGGGCAATTATCGCGGCTGAGTTGGCGTAATGGCATTGCTGTCCGCGCCACCAGACGCTCACTGGTGAGTGTGGTGCGTCAGGCTTCTTCTCTGTCTTCTCACACATACACGACGCAGACTAAAGTCTTCAAATCGAGGAATACTCTCACTACTGTTATGTGTGAAGATGTGTCTTTGCCTGAACCCAGACTAAAATCACCTTTCACATTGAGGAATACTCTCAGAATACTCTCTAAGAATGTATTACATTATCTGGATGGGGTATTGCTAGATTAAGCCTGGAACCTACACATTCAGATAGATCTCAATATTAACAAAAAACAGCTCGTCATAGAACCTACTGATTTTTCTAAGGTCAGGTGTAGTGGGAATGTCATCCCGAAATCCATTTTCCGTTTTCTAATAATAATTCTTGCAACAAACTCAGCTCACTCGACCACTATAATCTATGCGTGCACAGTTTTGTCGTCATTGTCTCCTTCCAAGCACTTGCAACCGGCTGTGCACCACCTCGGCCTGTGGAAATACCACAAATGGCGCACCTACTGCGCAAAACACAGAGGACCAGAGGTGACTGAATTGTGTCACTTCCGCTAGTATATCTGGTGAGACCACTTGCTGAGCACAAGCCATTGATTTGAATGTTGTCCTTGGATCACTTTCCTCAATTTACTTACCAATTTGGGCTAGAAACTCGAGATATGAACTTGGATTGAGTGAAAAACTGTTCCATAGAATAGTTTTATAGATGAGTCTCCAGGTGTCAATGTTAAGTCCCCAGGAAGCATAGAAACCCGTTGTATGTGTGTGCGTGTGTGTGTGTGTGTGTGTGTGTGTGTGTGTGTGTGTGTGTGTGTGTGTGTGTGTGTGTGTGTGTGTGTGTGTGTGTGTGTGTGTGTGTGTGTTAGTGTGTGTGTTAGTGTCAGTGGGTCATAATTAGACTGAATGCTCCAATCAGCACGTCTGGAACGTCTCGTGAGCCCATAGAGCTGTGCACTTATTATGACCCATTCATCTGCAATCATCTGTCTCGGAGCCTGTGATGAGACTGTGGGACCGTGCCAGACCGGGCCAGACCGTGTGCATCCAACCCGACCTCTAGCAACAGCGGCGTGTCACTATATTTAAACTGAATTATCCATCAAGTATCATTTTATCTCCTAAATGTACTTGTATTCCAACAACTAAAAGAGCCTCACTGTGTCAATAGTCAAATTTCATAAGTCATGAGTCTTTAAACTACGTTTTCTAAACAAATCAGACTATAACATAGTGTCTAATTAGATGTGATGTGATGCTGCTGTTGTGGCATTTGTGAAGGGGGGGATGAAGCAGAGTACAGGGAGGTGGTGGCTGCCTTCTCAGACTGGAGTGAGAGAAATGGTCTGATTCTCAATGCGTCCAAGACCAAGGTGATGATCATTGACTTTCACAGGAGCCCTTCCCATCAAAAGATCACAGTCAATGGACAAGACATCGAAGTGGTACAGTCCTACAAATATCTGGGAGTCCACCTGGATCACAGACTGGACTGGTCAGCTCAGGCCAATGCTCTCTATAAGAAAGGTCAGAGCAGACTCTTCTTCTTGAGAAGACTGAGGTCTTTTGATGTGAGCAGTCAGATGTTGCACATATTTTACCAGTCTGTGTTAGCTAGTACCGTGTTCTTCGGCGTGTTGGGGGCAGTCTGACCTCAAGAGACCGTAACCGGCTCGACAGGCTGATCAGGAAATGTGTCTCTGTGATGGGGAGAAGTGTGATCTCTGTGGGAGCTGTGCTGGAGAGAAGGATGAGGGCTCTAATGCAGTGCATTCTGGGTAACTCCAGACACCCTCTGCATGACACTATGGCCGCTCAGAGGAGTAATCGAAGGAACACGCTATTATCACTACACTGCTGAACGGAACGTTTCAAGAGATCCTTTGTTCCTTCAGCTATCAGACTGTACAACAAACCTGGATGAGTCTTCTGCTGCTGGACACCTGAATATCTCCCACGGGGGATCAATAAAGTATATATTTATCTATGTACAGCCCTACATCACATCAGCAGTCATCTCAGAGGACTTTACAATGTTGTTGATTCCTCTTGACAGATCATAGAATCAAACAGTTCAAACACAGGAAATACAATAATAACAAACACGTCAAGTGAGCCATTGTCCATAGGGGGCGGATGGCCAATGGCCATGAATGTTAATAGAGCCACAACATTTTGTGAAAACAATATGGCGGCACGGTGGCTGAGTGGATAGCACTCTCGCCTCTCAGCAAGAAGGTCCTGGGTTCGAATCCCGGTCGGACCAGGGCCTTTCTGAGTGGAGTTTGCATGTTCTCCCCGTGTCTGCGTAGGTTTCCTCCGGGTACTCCGGTTTCCCCTACCACTAAAAATATGTCCAATAGGCATGTCTGGCATGCGCCTCCTGTTCGGCGACCCCGCTCTCATCTCTGTGTGGAGTGAGAGATAAATGCCCATAATTAACAATTGTAAACCGCTTTGAGACTCAGATCTGCAGTGAAAAGGCGGTATATAAATAAAGATTACTACTACTACTACTACTAATATGGAACCATTTTACTGTTTTTACTGTTTACACCTTGCCTAGGAACTACAGTTGTAAACTAGCAGTATAGCTAATACTGACACATTTACAGTAATCTTGATTAAAGTGTATTGTCCCTATTCAAATAAAATAATAAATATATAAATAACCAAAGTGTTTTGAGAGCGATGAAGAAGTTACCCTGGGCTACTAGGTACCACAGCTTTAAACTTGACCCTGATCCACATTGGAGCCAGTGGAGTTAGTCTGGTGAGACCTGCCCAGTCTCCAGTGCTGTGTTTTCCATTTGCTGCAGCTGAAGCGGTGCTCTAAAGTCTTATGTTACGTCTAATATGATGTGGTCTGGTTACATCCAGCACAAGAACGAACAGCACAGTTTGGTGAAGCTGGCAAAGAAAAGTAAAGAATGAGTCTGTCTGCTTTTCTTGATAATCTATGCATTGTGTGGCTCATTATTATAAGTTTGGTGCATTTGGGCAAAAACAATGAGTTCACAAAGTACTTGTGAAAACCGGAGAATGTCAGAAGTGAAAAACCAGTCTGTAATGTAATTTAATAAGACAAGGCTACCAGGTCAATTGATTGTGAATAAATACATGCAGGCGCACCAAAGGCTCTTTGAAGATGATGTGAAGACTGTGCAGATTTGATCATGCTTTATCTGCAGCTCAGGCCCACAGCCACAGAATGTAATGGATGGATCATGTATGATGATCGAAACTATGTGGACTTCATGTTCTGCACTGTCCCTGATGTGTGCATGGTATGTACACTTTACATCGACTCCACCTATGAACTAAGTCACCAGAGCAAAGGAAAAAACATTTTGGATAAAAAGCAGACAGCGCAGGAGCCAAAGGTCCCGTGCTTTGAGAGCTCTGCCTTTACATGCAGGCTGCTTCCCTGTGCAGTTCGTGAAGCCCCAGTCACTGAATGTCCCTCTTTCTCTTCGTAATGAGAGCATTTAAACGTGAAAACGCCCAAAATACGAACAGAAGACGCTCTGAAGACATACAGAAGACGTACAGACGACGCTAAGTGTAATTTTTATTTTTTTAAAGCTATACAAATAAAGCTGACAATGACATTTTTAATCACCATTTTATTCTAAACTCCAGCCCACCTTCAATGCTTTCTGCAGTGAATTTGCATGTGCATATTTTGTGAACTAGCCACTTAAAACACCTAAATCTCTGTGATGTTTTCATGTTGTTGCTTTTCTCTGTGACACCCACCTGCCTGTTGCGCTCGTCCATGATGCGAGTGATTTGGATCTTCTTGCGCCCCATGGCTCCTGATGCGGGACAGTTTCAGTGGGATGACAGGGGCACAGCGGTGTGGTGGTCAGGGCTGCTACTGCATGGTCCTGGTGTCCTGCAAAGTATTTCACACATTCAGTCAATTAGATGTGAATCTCAATATGTTTAGTAGATTTTTTTAGCACAAAGTTAGTCCAGAAAGTTACGTACGGTTGTTTTAAAACTCTATTGAAAACAAAACTTATCATTGACGTGATATTAATTTTTTGCTGCATTAGGCAGGTTTAAGAGGTCTTGAACAACCTTGTGCAGTGGCATAAATACACACACATGCGCACACAAAAACATGGCTGCTGTCTGAAGCCTTATCTCCAGCACGTTTCCTGTCTGTAACTGCCTCCCTCCACTCTCAACACAAATATCTGTACCTCTGCACTTTCACATAAGAGCGTTGTTCACTTAAAGGCACACCGCGGACTTTGTGACCTAAAGAGTTGACACATATGAGTTATTTTATATGAATACTTGGGCCAATATACAGCGCTTGACACTTGCAATGCTCCGAGCGGGGCTGCCCTCTTGAAATACCGCCCATGTAACTTTAGAGCAGACGGACCGTCTGCCACCAGGTCACGTGACTTGGAAGAAAGATATGCTTTACGGCTACAGGCGCTGATATACTCATGGAGCTAAGGCTTTTGCTACTAATTTTTCACCTGCTCGACTCCTGGTCATGGCTGAGGCAAGGAAAAATTTTAAACCTTCGGAGGAGGCTAAAAAGAGGAAACGCGAAAGGGATCGTGCTGTAAGCTGCATGTCTGTATGAGCGCTGCTCTTCACCTGGTTCCTGGATGTCATCGACTGCAAAGATGTCATTCCACGCAGCACGAGCTAGACGCAGAACTCCCTCATCCAGGATATAGAAGTCCATGTGTGGTAGATTACTAATGCAGCGGTCTGGAGGCTGACCACAGCAGAGTCTCTCAATATCTGTAGGCATGTCTCTACAGTTTGAACACACACACCAGTGCATGCTGTCTGAATACACACTCAAAAGACACCGGCTGACTGTTTGTTGACTTTTGCGACAGTGCTGAGTTGCTTGTGGCCACTAGGGGCGCTAAACGTGAAAGTTGCAGGTCTAGCGCCCCTAGTGGCCAAGAGTTACACGGTGTGCCTTTAACATGTTGGTGATGCTACAAAATACTATAATACGTAACGTAAACTGGTTTTAATGATAATTTCAAAGATCATTTTTCAAAACATACACATTTCTTTATAAATAAGTAATGTTTATCTATATAGCGCAATTCTACAGACCAAGGTCACCCAAAGCACTTTACAATGTTCCAAGTTCAGATATTGTTCCAATGATTCCACACACGGTGATGACGGAAGCGAGTCGCCGAACACTGGCGCAACAAAGCCTCCAACCAACACCATCCATTCACTCTCTCATTTACATTCACACCTACTGTGCCTGTTTTTAGTGGTAGGGGAAACCGGAGCACCCGGAGGAAACCTACGCCGAAATCGGGAGAACACACAAACTCAGAAAGGCCCAGTTCCGACCGAGATTAGAACCCAGGACCTTCTTGGTGAGATGCGACAGTGCTATCCACTCAGCGCCCGTGCCGCCATGCTCAAGATTGAACCCAAAAATCTATTAGTAAAAAAGTCAAAACCAGATCAGTCAGTTAAACCTGTTATTAATGGTGTCAACACAAACCTATTTTAACGCCGTTCATTTAAATAAAATAAATTAAAAAAAATTAAAAAACAATTGCAAAAGCATGCAGATATTGCGTAGTCTATATTAGAAAATCCAAATACTTTCTTTTTGGAGGGGATTGGATTGGAATGTATAGAACAGGGAAAATGTATAATTACTGCGATTAATAGTGAGTTAATAATTTATTGTCTCTATAATCTCTTTGCAACACAATCATGTTATAGCAATAGAGGGTTGAAAAATCCATTGAATAGCTAAATATTGCTTTAGATCTACCATTTATTATATCTGCTCGGTTTTTTAATGAAATGGACATACAGTGCAGAAGAACTGATTCGGCTGCAATATCTAAATTTAAATGTTTGCATAAAAGTACAGTACAGACCAAAAGTTTGGACACACCTTCTCATTCAAAGAGTTTTCTATTTTCATGATTATGAAAATTGTAGATTCACACTGAAGGCATCAAATCTATGAATTAACTCATAACTCCTCATTAACTCCTTTTGCTCTGATTACTGCTTCGCACACTCTTGGCATTCTCTTGATGAGCTTCAAGAGGTAGTGATCTGAAATGGTCTGAGTTCCCACAGATGCTTAGCTCTTGTTGGCCCTTTCTCCTTCACTCTGTGGTCCAGCCCCAAAACCGTCCATCAGGATTGGGTTCAGGTCCAAAATCATATCGATTGGGTTCAAGTCTGGACTGTGGAGGCCAGGTCATCTGGCCCAGCACCCCACCACTCTCCTAATTGGTCAAATAGCCCTTACACAGCCTGGTGTGAATCTACAGTCAATAGTCATGAAAAGAAAGGACACTCATTGAATGAGAAAGTGTGTCCAAACTTATGGTCTGAACTGCAGTTACAATCTGACCATAGTTGAATAGTATATTCAATAGTTTTTGCTCATTTCTCCAATCAAATGATGTCCCGACAACAGCTCATTCTAAAGTGACTAAAGCACATTTTGACCACACACATTCCCGACACATACACACTTCAATTCAATTCAATTCAATGTATTCTTGTGTAGCCCTAAATCATAACAGTAGTTGTCACACAGACATACTTTAGTGGGATAAATAAATGTATATATCAATGTAGATTTAGGCGGTCTTCAAGGATAAACGTTAACACACAGGTAAATTAACGCTCTTCAGAATCAACTCGCCCAGAGCGGCTGTCAGGCGAAAGGCAAATATATTTGTGAAGCAACCTTGGGGGTGCCAGAAGAATCACTATGATCCTATGCTGATCCTTTCTACAGTCCATGATCCAAGTAAGAAAGGAGACAATGAGATAATTCTAGATCAATTAACATATATTAGTGTTATCTTTCATTGTTTTCTCATCAGTCACAGACCTGGATCTGCTTTTAGATCCATCCATGTGGAAACCGTCTAAATTAAGCTCCTGTCTCAGTCCTGTAGTAGTATGTCAATGTAAAACTATGACATCACACACTAAAACAAGTGTTGCTCATAAATAAGGTGATAATAGTGGTATGTATGTTTGTGGTAATCGCAAGTCTGTGTTTGCAGCTGGTCATTTTCAAACTCCAAACTCAAACAATTTCAACTCCTCCCTCTGGTGATAACACAGGGAGCAAGTTTTACCCATTAAGATATTGGTAAATAGTCCCATTATCATTATAACGGCCAAAAAAAATGACATGACATTTAAGACATCGTCATTTAAAAAACACAACTTCTATCATTAGTAGAAATATGCACTATCAGAGCAAGGCACATTTCAAATAGTCAAAGTGCAAACAACGGTATGATGACTTTCAATTTCATCATCTAAAAATACATCCTTAAAATATATATTTATAGTATTTTTTTATTTAAAGTAGCAAGGTTTTTTATGTTATACACAGATAATTAGACAAAAAACAGAAACTAGACTCTAACAAGGGACTATAGGGCGAGAAGACGGGGTAAAAGGGTGATGGGGGAGGAGTGGGTAAGGTGTGTGTAAAGTATACAGTTTGTGTGCTGCTTATTGATAAAAAGCAGCTTATTCACCAGTTGGTAACTGGAGTATTTCATGTCAACATTTGTACAAAATGCAAAACCACATAGAAATCACAATTGCACTTACTTATAAAAGAATACAAGACTTCATCTGAACATCCACAGTAATACATCAGTTTTACATAGCGCTTTTTTGGACACTCAAAGAAGCTTCACCTGTCAATATTCTTTCTCGGCAGACACAAGGTGATAATCTACAGTAGGTCATGAAGATATGGAGGTGAATCTGATTGTGATGAAGTCAGTGCCTCACCAATCATCAACCTCACTGAACACAACCTCCTCTCTCCTCCTCCTCCTCCTGGTCCCTGCTGTCCGCCCTCTCGCCGTTATCTGCGGCGACAAGCTGCAGATGCGCGGCGCGTCCCGGGACAGGGCGCACGTCGCTCGGTGGCAGCGCTGGTCCTTTCACAATCAATAAAACATGCTCTATTCCCTGTGTAATTACCCAATCTGGCAACGTGCTCTCCTCTGTGGAGGCAAACGTGAGGTATTGCTCCCCTAACTGTTGTCCTATATAAACTCTACGCTGAAGTAAGTTGACAGATGTACTACGAACGTGCGTCGTAGCGGCCTGCGATTCAGGCCACTGCAAGCACATGTGTCCAGAGGAACTGCTGCTGTGGAAACTGTTACTGGACCATTATTTAACCATGTTACCTCATTGTTCCTCGTCAAAATCAGACCTAGAGTTGTTTATACAGTAGCTCCACCTGCGCTGAAATCAGGGACAAGCACAAATTGGCAAAAGCACACCCCTCCATCCCTTCTCTCTAAAAGATCCCATTTTAAAGCAGTATGGGAAATTTTAGAATAGTTTCTTCCCCATGCAGGAGGGTCTGTAGTGAGGGTCTAACAAAAAGCACAGTGGTGATGCTCCAGGACACTCGACATTCAACATCACGTATGGACATTGGTCATCTGCCCCTCATGGACCAATGGCTCTGTGTGTTTTTTATCATTGCATTTCTTGAGCTTGAACAGTTTGAGGCAGTCCCGCCGGTCTCTCCCATAGACTGTAAGTCTCTTTATTAGAGAGGTTAATATGGGCTACTGCGGCATGTTTAAGTTTAGTATTATTTCATTCGTGCTTGCAGCTCAAAATGCTGACTTTAAGATTTTGCAAAAAGAAAAGACTCAGACAACAACCATTAACATTTTACATCAGTATTGTAGAATATGAATGCAGTATATAATGTTGGGAGTCTCTTTACAGGACACAACATTTTAAAATGTGTCTTTGTTTTTCAAATGTCTCAGGGA